ATGATAAAGCCAGAGGACTAGATCAGAGGAGCTTGGGGGAAAAAAGTCTGTTTCTACTGCCAGCTTTCTTGCCCAGAGCAAATCTAGGCCTGTCATCTTAGTAAGAATTTGAGGGAACAGAGGAATAGCGGAGGAAAAGTAAATCAAGCCGTCTGTCTTTTGGTAGGAAAAGCCCCAACACACAGCCATGTCTCAGGCAACTGCTCTGGGGGCAACGTCTTGAAACTCCTCTCGGCTTGTTCCCATCCTCTGCTCACCGAGAGCTGGAGTTTGGTCACATCTCCATTAATGGCACTGAACGGTAAAGGGAACGTGCTGGGTGGGGTCACAGAGCGGAGGGCAGAAGGGTAGTTTAGGCCCTTGACGGGAATATTCCCAACAAGAACAGGCCTTCCCTGCCCGCCAGCCGGGCTTCTGGGCCAACCTCGGGGAAACTGGATGGAGAAGGAGGTCCTGGAGCCAGCCAGGCTTGGGATGTGAATTCTAGCGCACAAATCGGTAACCTTGGAAAATCACTTAACCCCCCCTCTGCCTCAAATTTCTCAACTGTAATAAAAACAATCATAGTATTGCCAGTTCCCATGTCCCCAGGAGCAGGAGGCACCAGAATTCGACATGTGTTGGCTCATTTAATCCTGGCAAGCATTCTAGAAGCCAAATGGGGATCAGATTTGCAGGTGAGGATGTCCTCAGACCTAGCCAGGATGACCCAAAAGTTACCCGAAGTTACCCAAACAGCGTCAGTGCCCGGATTGCCATCTGCCCACCTCACTCGGAGCTCTCCGTGTGTCACCACAGTCCGGGCATGGTGCCCAAGACGCTGTGAACAGCACGGTATTTTCTAAGCTGGAAAAGTGGCCCCAGAGCCCAGGAAACATGAAATGGCAATCAGAAAACTCTGGAACTCCTTAGAGTGACAAACAGGCCAGGAGAAGAGGCCAGAAAGATTTACACCTCCACAAATCCTTTACTGAACAAATATTTGTTGGATATTTATGCCATGTGCCACAGGGCTTGCCAGGCCCCGGGGATCCAGCAGAAACATCTTACCCAGGAAATGACAGAGGAGCTGACTGCAAGGGAAACACACAGAGGCACGGAAGGAGCACGCTCCCTGGGGTCTCAGGGTCGGGCAGAAGAGCTGGGCCTCGGCCCTCACTCGGCATCTCATTAGCTCCATGACCTGGGGCACAATATTTAACACCCCCTCCCCCAGTTCATGTGAGTTCACCAACTATCCAGCAGGGTATGTGATACTTGGACCCTCACCTCACAGGTTGATTGTGAGATGCAGATGGGCTGGCACACCTCGAGGGGCCCAGAACCGGGCCTAGCCCCCGGAGGGCATCCTGCAAGCGCTAACTGTGGCTAGCAGCACAATGCCTGGCCCACGGTAAGTACAACGCCCACCCACCATTATGACTGTTACTGCGGAAGTTAAATCCGGGCAACAGGCCTCGTGCTGGATGAAGGAAACCTCCAGAGCATCTTCTGGGTTCCAGGACCCACCTTAGGATTCCTGGCTTGGAGTCTCAGTGCCTCTGGCTGTCCCTGTCACCGCCAGTCCCGCAGTGGCTGGCAGACCACCACAGGGGGCTGCTGAGGTTGGAACTCTCACCTGGGCTGCCGGGAAGCGATGTTCCTTGTCCATCTGGGCTGCAATGGGAACCAACTCCTTCTCAGCAAATTCCCGGCACGTCTGGCGCAGCATCTGGTGCGTCTCTGGCAGCTCCACAGACTGGTAGATAGTATGTAACCGACGCCAGGCCCGAGGATGCAGAGCTGTGGGCAGGAAGAACAGGTAGTAGTGGGAGGGGAATGCAGGCGGTCCTGCTGCATGATCATCATGGTAATGGCCATCCAGTGACTCAGTGGGCCTACCCCAGGGATGATTTTGCCCCCCGGAAGATATCTGGCAACGTCTGCAAACATTTCTGGTAGTTGTAGGGTGGAATGCTCTTACTATGGAGTGGGTAGAGGCCAGGGATACTGCCTAATACCCTACGAGGTACAGGACAGACCCCACAACAAAGAATTATCGGCCCAAAATGTCAATAGCGCGCTGTTGAGAAACCCACACCAACTGAATGTTTCTTCCACTTGCTACACAACTATCCCAGTCGATCTTCAGGACGACACCAGTCGTACTAAGACCACAGCTTTGCCACCTTAGGCAAGGATCTTTTTTTTTTTTAAGATTTTATTTATTTATTTGAGAGAGAGAATGAGAGAGAGAGCAGGAGAGGGGGGAGGGTCAGAGGGAGAAGCAGACTCCCCGCCGAGCAGGGAGCCCGATGTGGGACTCAATCCCGGGACTCCAGGATCATGACCTGAGCCGAAGGCAGTCGCTTAACCAACTGAGCCACCCAGGCGCCCTTAGGCAAGGATCTTAACTTCACTGAGCCTCCGTGCCTAGAAAACCTGGTGGCCAGCAGTACTGAGCTCCTGGGGGTGGGAGGGTGAAAGAGATGCTGACTGCAGCACCAGCACAGGGCCTGGCAGACACAGCCCTCCACGGGGGTCCCCTTACTGTTGTCCTGCAGGCAAAGGAAGCCCTGGCCACGTGAGAGACATAAGCTGGGAAAGCGCGGTATGAAATAATCAACAAGCCCCAACAGTTACTGAAAGCCATCTGACAGGCGCTGTGCTGAGTGTTTTACCCAGCCTGCGTGCGATCTGATCCTTGTAACAACTCCACAAGAACAGGGACACATCGCTGGGGCCATTTTACACACGGGCCAAATCCGGCGGACGGGCCGAGCGTCTCGCCCAAGGTCACAGACGCAGAGTCTGGGTTCAGACCCAGGCCTGGCTCGGGAGGACGGGCGCCCCTGGGCCTCCGCGGGCGAGGAACTGAGCGGGGGTTGGGGGGGCAGTGCGGGCGCGGGTCGGAGCGGGAGCCGGGGCCGTGCAGGCGCCAGCAGCGGCCCAAGTGGGGCAAAGGCCGCGCGCGCTCCCGGAGAGGGTGCCGTCCGGCCGCCGGGACTCGAGCCCGCTCGGCCGGCCCGGGCCGCCGCCGCCCCGCTGTGCAGAGCCGGAGCGCACTCACCTCCGCGGCTGGGGCCGCAGGCCCGGGCGAGCAGCGTGGCGGCCATGGACGCGGACGCGGCGCGGGGTTTCTGTTCGGCGACCTCCGGCGGGAGCGCACCGGTTCCGGGCCGCGGGGGGCGGGCCAGGGCGGCCGACACGCCCCCTAGCCCCGGGGGCAGGTCCCGGCCCCGCCTCCCTCCCCGGAGCGCTCAAAGCGCGCTCCGGCGTTTGCGAGGTCTCCGCGGTCCGCCCTCATCCTTTCTCCAAACCCTCGGACGGTGGCCCATCTCTCCTAAAATCCAATTCCGCGGCCTAAAATGCTCCATATGACCAACCTGCGCCTACCTCTCACGCCCCGTGCCCACCGTGCCCTCGCTGTCTTTGCTGCAGCCGCTCAAGGCAGCTCCAACACTCCGGCTTGTTCTTGCCTCCGCGACTTCGCAATCCCTGTTCCTCTACCTGGAAGGCTCCTTCCCTCCATCCAGGTCTCACTCTGACCACACATTCTCCACCCCAGCGTTTGTTTTATTTATTCCTGGCACTCAGCGTCTGACATCTTCTCGACTCCTCCCTCTAGTCTGTGAGCTCCGAGAGGCACAAGGATCTTGTCTTGCCCTGATGCTCGATATTCAGCCCCAGCGAATTGGGCTGCGTGGGAGGGGGGATCTCTCTCCTCCAGAAGTTGTGCAGGTGGGGTGGAGCTGTCACCCCCTTATTCCACTGTAGTCCCATCTGTTTCACCCCCAGTCGTGGGGCAGAGCCCATTTGGGAGCAGCGGGCACTGCCCCCAATGCCATGCATTTGGCATCCTCATCAAGACACCTTGACCCTCCCCAGGAAACTGGCGACTCCAGTGCCCTGACAAGGGTCTTCCCTCAGCACAAGCATGAGTCAGACTTCCACACCCTCCCGGGCACCCACACATCCCTCTATCCATCTTTACGCCTCTGTAACTCAGCCAGGCACCTGTCCCCACCACTGACACACATGCCAAAATTTGTCTTCCGCCAAGACCTTGCTCTCCCTCCCCAAGATCAATGAAAAGATGTAGCAAAGTCCTTAATATGTTACCTCTCATTTAAAAGAAAGCCTCTAAATCCACAGTACTTTAGACCCGAACCAATGACTGTGGTTGGCTAATGCTCTGAGGCCTTCCTTACCTTTCCACTGCCCCCCCTGGTGCCAGTCCTGGGTGAAAGAAGAAAGGAAAAAGCAGGAGAGGGGGAAATCAGTGAGTGGACACGGGCCAATGACTGCTTGGGCTGCCACAGACCATCCAAACCAGACTTACTTCAAAATTGTATTGTTTGTTACCTTAAACAACAATGTTAGTTTAATATTAGAAGTATGCCAATTTCCCAGTAAACACAGAAACCAGACAATGGTTTCAAGGGAACTGGCCTTTGAGGGAACTTTGGGGGGTGATACAACAGCGCTGTATCATGATTGTGATGGTGTGATATGGCTGCGTGCTCGTCCAGCTGTATCTTAAACCAGGTGAATTCTACCGCAGTTAATGCATCTCAATAACCCTAACATTAAAATACTACATACAGGGGCGCCTGGGTGGCTCAGCTGGTTAAGCGACTGCCTTCGGCTCAGGTCATGATCCCGGGGTCCTGGGATCGAGCCCCACATCGGGCTCCCTGCTCAGCAGGGGGCCTGCTTCTCCCTCTCCCACTCCCCCTGCTTGTGTTCCCTCTCAAGCTGTGTCTCTGTCAAATAAATGGATAAAATCTTTAAAGAAAAATAAATACTACATACGTGTTTAATTCACAAAGCCCCCCAGCAAAACAAAGCAAAAATATTAAACCTAGAGCCCAACACTGTTCCCCGATCACCCTAAAAACCAGCAATACTCATTATTTACAGAAAGGTCATTTAAAGAAACTTGGAGCCCACCCCCACCCCTACCTGCTCCCCCCCCAGCAACCCACAGGGCCCAGGCAGGGGACAAGAGAGGACGCACGAACTGTGAAAATCTTTTATTACTGTCTCTTGTGGCAAAATAACATTTTGTACAAATAAGTCACCTAGTTTACTTTGGACACAAAGACAATACAAACTGGAATGAGGATCTCAGGTGAAGGGGAAAGAGGAGGAAGGACAGATCAGGTCATTGATGTTTCTTATATTCTGTGAAAAATAGATTTACAGGGGGAAAAAAATAGACTTTCACAACTTCAATGAGCCTTTGTAAAACAAGGGGTAAATCCGCCTCCACCAGACCCTTTTTATGGCAAAGATGTTCTGTAACATGGAATGTGAGGAAACGACAAGTGGACGACCAGGCGCTCACGGCAGCTACAGCAGCACCTCTGCATCAGGAATCCTCAGGCCCTGGCGAGGAATCTATGCCGTGGGTCTGGGAACAGACTGTCTCCAGTCCCCAAACCTCACTGCCATCGTGGTGACAAGAGCCACCAAAAGAAAGTAACTTGACAGAGGGAAAAAAAAAAAAAAAGAGTACCCTGGGAGCCTACTGGGGGTGGCAGGACACACTAAGGCAAGACTCCCCCAATTTGTCCATTACACACAGCCTATTAAATGCATCCCAGAAATGAATTCCACTTCAACTGGAAAAATAGGTCGATGATTACCCATCACTGCCATTTCAAGGATCACCAGTCTACAGTGAGCCCCACCTTCCCTAAATCACTGCCCCTGCTGGAGAATCAGATGGCCCAAAGGCTGGAATGTGTCTTCGGGGAGTTCTGCAGGCCCCTGAAAACTGCCTTCTCCGCAGGGATCACTGAGCTAACACATAAGGACAGGGTGGCCTACTTTAGCCCACAACTACTTTTATTGGTTATTTCTTCTGTTTGCTCTTTAGGACAAAATGAAATCAACAGGGATCTTCTTTGAAGAAGCAAGAAGAGCATCGTAGCCCAAGGCTCTGAAGGAAAAGCGAGATGCTCTTCCTGGAGATTCCCAGGCGGAGGGATAGGAGCAGGATAGCAGAGGAAGAGGTGCAGGCATCTGGCCCCGTGGCGCCGGGTGGGCCTGCCAGGCTGCCGGAATGCGTCCCTCCAGGAACTGCCACCCAGATGCCAGCTCTGACCAGGAGGCAGGGTGTCCCCTTGCAGGTCACTTTTCCCCTCCCCCGGCAGCACCCCCAAGACAACTGCTATCACCAGCCCCGATTCCCTACTAACATGGCCTCCCAATTCAACTTCTGACGGCTTCGGCTACTTTCAGAGAAAGGAGGACTTCCAATTCTTTCCCTAGGTCAGGTACAAAAGCGTGAATTCCAAACTCACTCCGGTTAACCCCCCAGAGTGGTGATGCTTCTCCAGATTTCCTGAGTAATGAGACACAAGAATCCGGACTCCCAGGTACAGAACACCAGACAGACCTTCTGGAGCAGATGGTGTATCTCTGTCCTCCTGTCCTCCTGGACACAGACGGAGCATATGACCTCGAGATGGTCCAGTGAGACTAAGGCAAGCTAATGGGGAGGAGGACACGGCCCGACTCAAGCCAGCATGCCTAGCTCCCCTGCGCTCCCCCTAGCAAAGGCTAACACTGCATAGAAAAGACAGTCCACTAGTCCACACTGCGTGGTCTGTCCTGGGACACATTTCCAAGACACTATTGAGTAGAGCTCTGGACAGCTCCAGAAACCACATCCTAGATAGTAATTAAATATCAAATAGTAGAAAATCTCCCAATTAGGCTACTGTCCAATAGAGAAGGGGTGGTTCTGAAGCTCAGTATGCACACACGAATATGCTAGAGGAGACATAAGGAGAAACCAGGCAAGGAGGCAGTACTGATGTCTGTCCACAGATGAGGAGGGAAGGAGGGCAATGCAGCTTTTCCCAGTAGCACGTGGGACAGAGCCACACATAAGGCACCTGAATTTGTGGTCGACTCCAGTTCTGAGATTCACCCGGTCTGGTGATGAGTAACCCATGTGCAGGGTGCCTGGTCTCTTCCCTCCCTCAGTGGTTGGATCCAGTGCCAGCACACAGGAGTAAGGGTTTTCTCAGTAGAAAGCTGCCAGCATCTGGCACAGCCCAGACTCTGGCCTGGCACAGAGCACTGGGCCAAGGTTCAAGGCCACTCACACTCTAGAATCCAAAGAGGGAGCAACACTGGTTAGCGAATGCACAGGGGGCTTCTGTGGCAAAGTGCTGGGCCCCGTGTGGCCTTTGTCCCAAACATCTTGGGAGACTGCTCTCCTTCAGCTACTACGATGCTTCACAGTGACTGTTCCCACATGCCCGGCCCTTCCTCCTGCTACCTTCCTATCAAGGCTAAACCCTGGCCACAGCAACAGTCTTATCAGAGGGTCAGCCACCCGTCAGACAACCGGGAGCAGCGGAGGCTATCCAGGGAGGGCCTGAGGACAAAAGCGGCCCACGAGGATGTGCAGGGAGGGTTTTCTGAGAAGACCTTTTGAGACCTCGGCCCACTTCACTCACCTTTTCCAAGCACCCAAAAACAGGCCAACTAGCGGTATGAGGACCAGAATAGGCATTACTGAGGTCTGACTTGCCGGGATGGTTCCCGAAATTATTTCAGGAGAAAGGCAGACAGGAAAATCCTCCTCAGTAAGAAATCTACAAAGAGTTTCAGAGGCAAACCCACATCATAAGCCAGTCCTGCGGGCTCTCCTGGGTAGAGAAAATCAAATCCCTCCTTTAAGTAGCTGCTGGTCCGTAACCATCCCGGGCCCCAACATGAGCCAGATTAGCCCCAGGCGCCTGTTTAATACTATCAGAAGTCTAACCACACATCACATATGCTGGGAACACCATGGTCGTCTTAGAAAACCTCCCCGAAAGAAGACTAAGGAAAGAAACCAACCAACCAACCAACCAACACAAAATACACGGCCTGCTGTGGCCTCGAGAGATCCTACTGTTCCAAGAGCACAAAACTGACCGTCTATTTCAGGAGATACTCAAAAGTTAGGAGCGAGGACAAGCAGAGCAAGCTCATCCTTCCTCCAAAATGGCAACAGGAGGGCACTGCCAGGCTGCAGCCTTGGTGTGTCCCCAGGAGGGCTGGTGGAGGAGCCTGGAAGTCAGACAGAGAAGCAGGCCTCGCCACAACACGGACCTTTCAGTCTGGCAACCCTAGCGGCCCCCGGTGCCCCCACTCTTGGCACCCCTCCACCACCCCCCTTTCTTTCCAGTTGCTTTAGAACTACACACAAGCTGAGGTCAGACTATGCCGACAGCAACACTGTAAGTGAGAGGAGGAATCGCCTAGAAGAGGCCCGGCTTTCAGCTTCTCACCGTGCCCTGGAAGCTACGGAGAAGCCGCTGCAAGCCGGCCGGCCAGAGCCCCCTCACCCCGACGCAGCTGCGCCTGCAGGGACCCAGGCTCATCAGCACAACCAGCAGGCAGCTCGGACAACAGGAAAATAGACTTTCTTTTTTCTCTGGACTCCAGGAGCCTGACCCTAATCCTCTAGTACCTCTGTGACCTACGGGGCAGGGAAAAGGGAAGAAAAAATACTGGGGAAGAAAACACAGCACTGCTTGGCACCTCTCTTGAGCACAGGAAACTACCACGCCCGCCTTGGCTTCCCGGGACCAGGCTCCAGATGTGTGTGGACGAACACAGGTTCAACCACCTCCATGTGCCAGGACCTTGGGCCACAGCAAAGCACCTCCCCGTCCACTCCTGCAGCAGTCACTGGCCTCCATTATAGGCATAGTCAGCCTTGTTGTGCATTATCAGCTTGTTGTCAACAAAGTAGAAGCTGTCAGAACGGGTCTCATAGGGATTTTCAATCATCAGACGAACTGCAAGTCAGAGAAAGGGAAACAGCAAAGACATATGTGTGAGTCTGCCCCCTGGGCTAGGTGGGAAAAAACGTAGCATCCCCTCAGTAATTCCTAAGCCAGCACTCTAGAACGTGTGAGCGTACTCTGCCAGAATAGTGAGGTCAGAACAGAGCGGGGCGGGCTTGGAGAGCTGGAGAGAACCACAGAGGCCCCCAAATTAAACACAATACCCACTTCAACATAAGGATGCAATCAACTCTGACATGGCACTACTTGGGCATCTCCAGCCCTTAATCAGAACCCCAGGGAACCAGATTACCCTTTTGCCAACATGGACCACCGAAGACTGTTTATTCAGTACTTCTGGTCTGTTCCCCATCTCTAGACATTCTGGTCCAAATTCCAAAAGCTGTGCCTCACTGTGCCCACCCCCCACGGGCATCCCTGACAACCAAAGGAAGCCTAGGTGTGCGTGAGTGCAGGAGGACAAAGAGCGAGGAGCCTTTCACAGGCGTGGCTCAGGGTATTAAGTTGCCAATGATCCAGCAAAAGATCTGCTTTCTTGGGATCCAGATTTAAATCTTCTGTTTGCTCAGGCAACTGCCCAGACCTCTTTAGCCATACTAGAGAGTCAAGATAATTAATTAACAGTCACAACCTCTGATCAGTTTTGAGTTAATGATCACATGCTATTTTGGCTCCTCTGGAGGAAATGCGCTTGTTTACCACAGTTCTCAAAAGATGAAACGGATTGTTTAAAGTCCTTTGAACCCACTCAGGCCAAAAAGTTATTTGGTTTATATCCAGAATATTGACCTCCACATTCCTTCAGCTTATTTGGTTTCAAGAAGAAAAGTTCTACTGCCTTGGGTAAAAACTTGAAATACTATACATAATCCTTTCCTGCAAGTATCTACCTATTCTGGCCCAGCTTGGGGAGCGGGATCAGAGGCCATCATCAACAGCCTGCCCCACGTTAGCAATCCTCATTTTACCTGGAAACAGCACCGTCAATGTGAGTGGAGAATATTCTGGTTTTCAGAATCTAACAGTTTTAGGGACCTGGGATTCTGAGAAAATATATGTAGTGTATGTAGGTCCTTCCCTACAACTCAGCCAAACTCCCCCGACTATTCACTATTCACAGGATCCCGCTCACACATTCTCATTGTTCTGGAGCCATTTTCCCTGGTTACCAACAGAGAATGCTAACCCAAGAGAGCGCCACCGGAGTCCCAGGAACTGATAAAGCCTGTTCTTTCTCTCGATCAGTCCACCTCTTCCCCTGCCTCAGCTTCTCCCTCTGGGGCCTCCTGAGTTTTCCCTCCTCACAACTATAGGATTACTCTTCCTAAGACATGGCTTCCATCTGGCCACCCCCACTGCTCCAAGCTCTGTAACAATTCCCTTTTTCCTGTGGATCTATTCTGACAGCAGAGGATGAGAAAGACCTCTGATTCTAGTTGGCCCCCAGCTTCACTTCTCCCTCTGACTAAGGAGAAAGGGGAGGGTGAACAAGGAGTGCCGGGCAGGAGCCAATGACCAGAACATAATGGAAAACCAAAGCGGCTCGGAGAGGCGCTCCAGCTAACCCTAGGCCCGGGGATCGTCATGGGCCTCCCCTCCTCTCCATCAGTCACCTCCTTTCCCGCAGCAGGCACCTAAAGCAGATGGCCTGCATTATTAAAACTTTCGATGCTCCCAGACAGGCAGAGTTTGAAACCCTAGACAGGAGCACTAGGAAGTGAGAAGCCTGAGGTCAAATGCCTACAAAGGCATCATGTCACCACCTCCCTCCTCTGCCAGATGAGGGCGTTGGACCAGATGGACTCCAAAGTTTGTTCCTTCTAGCCCTAAGAATCTAGAATGATACAGAAGTCAGGGGATACATACTGACATCCTCAGAAAGCTGGGGAAACTCATAGATATGTTCACAAGTGTTCCTACTGCTGGGGATGCAGAAGCCGAAATCGAAGTCAAAGTTTTTCAGCAAGCGTTCCCGGAAATAGTGCCGCTCGATCATCCGGAAGTTTGACACAGGTTTGTCTCCCACTGTGAACTCCACTCTGCAAAATAAACCTCTGTGAGCTCTACTTGGCCTCCTCCCTCCTCTAAAGTCAATCCAGAACCCAACCAAGAACATTCTTTGTGGACAAAGAGTGTTCTCCCCTCCAGAAATACTGGTACTCACGTTGCTCCGACTGTCCGGAGGCGGAGAAAGGCGGGTGTGAACTGATAGCGGACAAAACGTCCTGCACTGATATCCACGTCTCCACCTTCGTCGTCGTCCTCCTCCTCTTGGTCTGAAAGAGCACACAGAATCTTGAGTGTATTGTCTCGGCACCACCGGTCCCAACAGCACAACCAACAAATGGTACTAACACCCACAGAAGGATGGCCAATATCAACTGCGCATTTGCTACATACCAGGCCTTGTGCTGATCACTTCCCAGAATCCTCAGAGTAACCCCGTGGGGGTGTCATCATCATCTCCATGTTACAGATCAGGACGCAGAAGCTCAGAGACATTAAGTCACATGTCCAAAGTCCCCCAAGCAGTAAATGGAGGAAGCAAGGATTTGAACCCAGGGACTCAAAGCTTGTTCTCAAACACTAAGCTATTTACCTTTTATGTAGTTTAAGGGCTTGGGCCATATCCTAAGAGAGCCGGCCTGAAACATAAGCCAGGTGCTAGGCCCCCAGCATGGTCGATAGCATACAGACACGTCTGCTGGTGACGAGGTTGCAGTCCTAGCCACCAACCAGAAGAATGAGACTACAAAGGCTGAAACTAGTCAAAAGCCCAGTTCAAAGAATGCAAAAATTTCTGACAGGCAGCAAAGATAACCCCTAGAAATAACCTTGTTGGGGCACCTGGGTGGCTCAGTCGTTAAGTGTCTGCCTTCGGCTCGGGTCATGATCCCAGGGTCCTGGGATCGAGCCCCGCATCGGGCTCCCTGCTCTGTGGGAAGCCTGCTTCTCCCTCTCCCACTCCCCCTGCTTGTGTTCCCTCTTTGGCTGTGTCTGTCAAATAAATAAATAAAATATTTAAAAAAAAAAAAAAAGGAAAGAAAGAACCTTGTTATTTAAATAGAAGATACTGGCCTACAGTCTTGGCGTACCGTAATGCCTATTCCAGGCCACGCCAGGTCCAACACTGAACACCTGGGAAACAGTGAGGCAGATAGATGGGCAATGGACCAACGTGTGGGACCTGAATGAGGGCCAGTCTAGTCCATTCCTGAACCCAGAAAGTGGAAGTTCTGTAAAATGAATCAAAGAACCATTCTAATGTGAAAAACAACGTAGTTCCCACTAGTAGCCATCCAGTGTCCAGCAAAAATATTTTCTCCAGGTATAGGCTGAATATGGGTGCAACTGATCTTTTTTAGCCCCAAACATCTCCGCCAATAACAACCCCAAGAGCATATGGGCAACCAGACTGAGCAGGGGTTCAGAGCCAGCCACTGGAGAGTCCTTGCTCCAACAATGTGATTCAGAGAGAATCAGACCGAATCTTCTCAGGAATTCAAACTCATCAGAACAAGTGCAGCAGGAGGGTACTGATTCAGTGGGAGCATATTCTAAGTGAATCAAGATCCTTAAAGGTAAAGACTGGAGAAGTTGAAAATCAAGGTATTTTTACAGGATCTGCAGCTGACCCTCTTTTTTTTTTTTTTTTTAAAGGTTTTATTTATTTGACAGAGAGAGACACAGTGAGAGAGGGCACACAAGCAGGGGGAGTGGGAGAGGGAGAAGCAGGCTTCCCGCAGAGCAGGGAGCCTGATGTGGGGCTCAATCCCAGGACCCTAGGATCATGACCTGAGCCGAAGGCAGGCACTTAACAACTGAGCCACCCAGGCGCCCTGCAGCTGACCTTCTTGAGACAGTTCAATTTTGTACTGAAATGACTACTATGGGCCCAGCCTAATCCAAATCCACATATCTGAAGCAGCCCTGGGGTCCATGAAACATCTGAAGTACTGGGACGGGTCACTTAGGGATGTGAATGCCACAGACCCAGGAAGCTGGCTGGCCCTGATCCTCCCAACACCAGCTAAGCACCCACAGGCTGGAGCCGTTAGGTGCCTTGGTCAGCCCTAGATTATGAGAGCACAAAGGATGCCAGATAGGGTGAGAAGACTAGGGCTCCAACCTTGGCTGTACAACGAACCTGAGCGGAGATCTTCTCAGGAAAGCCTTTCGACCTACCTGGGATACTAATACCTGCCTTACCAAATTTACAGGCTCTTCTGAGCAGCGAATCAGACGAGAAGAGCTTTGCAAAAAGAATTATTAATACAGACCTCGGTGAATACTCTGCAGTCATCCGCGCTGGTGTTCTAAAAACTAATGCCAGAGGGCGCTCCGTCTCCGATGATGAGCTCCAAGACCGACATGTGGTCCCCTAGCCAGGAATGAATCACCCTGGGGCTGCATCACAAGCACCGGAAGCATCTATTCAAAGCTAATTTAAGGAATCCCAAGTAGTTCATAGGTCTGGGCTTTCTGTTCATCCAGAAAATGGTGAAGATTAAAATCCAAACTAGGACTTACAGGGAAATAGGAGGCACTGTTTAAAGGAAAGCGAGGGAGAAGACAGGGAAGCCCAGACCGGGACCCTCAGCATCACCCTTCCAGTGTTCCCTGGACACAAGGCTCAGGGGCACTTTCCTCATTCTACTTTAATTCCAAGGCTTCCTATCCTAAGTGGAGGCAACATGGTAAGATGAACGAGCACAACCTTAGGAAAGTCACTTGGAAATTCTGGGCCTCAGTTTCCTTATCTGTAAAATGGGAATAGTAACTCCTCCCAGAAATGTGAGGATTATAGGACCTGATGCAAACAGAAACACATGTATAACCAGCAGAGGGTAGATACTCAACAAACACCAGCCTCTCAGCGCAGCTTCCAACCAGTACGCCAGGCAGGCCAGGTTTCAGGAGGAGGCACTGCACGGACATGCTGGAGTACAAGCTGCAGGATGCAACGGTTCACACAAACGGGAGCCTCGGAGACCTTCTCAAGTGGCTGCGACAATACTGAGGCCTACCTGAAACACAGGGTTTGGCAATCTCAAAGAGCACTGTCCCTGTCTCCAAGTCTCGAATTTTGAAACGGGTGAAATCAATACTGTAGATGTTATCTTCGGGTTTACATAAATAATCTGAAAATAAGAGAGAGAGAGAAAGACAAATGCTGTTTAATAATCCTCCAAAACTATCATTTCTTTCTTTGTCAAGTTTTGAAGCAAAGTCAGGCTTTTTCTTCCTACACAATTCACTTAAAATACACCCAAAAACTTCCTCTTATGTTACAAGCAAAAGTTGTATGAGCAGAATAAGGGGATCGAAGAAAGAAAACAAGAGCATGGATTTGGATGGGATGAAAGATTATCATAACACTTTTAGAAACAGGGATAGTATCAGGGGCTTGCTTTGGAAACACCCCCAAAATGGCCTACAAGGCTTCCATAATCTATTAACTTGATGTCACAACAGAATTTTTTTACAAATCCATTTTAAAACATTTATGCTGATCTAATGGCCAATATAGTGCCTGTTTGCCGGCCGTGAGTATCGCACAGCAGAGATCAGCAAATGTTTTCTGTAAAGGGCCACATCCAAATAATTTAGACTTTGGGGCCACACTGTCTCTGTCACAACTAAACTCTGTCTCTGTAGCAAAAAGCAGTCAGACAACCTGCATATAAATGAGCAGGTCTGTAGTCCAATAAAACTATTTACAGACACTGAAATATGAATTGCATATAACCATGTGTGCTGAGATTTTTTTTTCCCTCAACTATTTAAAAATGTAAAAACCACTCTTAGCTTGCAGACTGTACAAAATCAGGCAGTGGACCATACCTACACAGGTGACAGGGCAGATCTGCTGGGAGGGCACTGGGCCAAAGTGAAGTGGAGCCCGTGACAACCTGAGCAGCTGGTCAGTATGGTACTGATCATAGGAAACTTCCCTGATTTCTTTCTACGATGTGACTCCTGATAGCATCTTCTTCTCCACAACTCATTTGAGCACTTTTTCTTACACTGTCTGCTTGTGTTAGTTGTTCCATGTTTTACAAGCTGTCTCTCCAGTAATATGGCAAACTTGAGAGCCACTGATTACTTTGTAAATCCTAAAAAGACTGAGATGGCTTCTGCACCTTTTGAGGGTATTCAATAAATAACTTGCTGAATGGAACAGATTTGAACAAAATCCAGAGGTCACCACGCTCTGACCTGTGGCTGTCTCCAGTAGGCTGCTGGGGTGAGGTTGAGCAAGAGCACCAATCCCAAGCTCTTACACATGACCTGAGTGCCCACTGAGAATGCCGCTAAGGGCCAGGCATTAGAATGGCCTGATTCACCCTTGGTATCAGGAGAAAGCAGGAGGCTAGAAAGCTCAGGTGATGAGCACTTCTGGACCTTCAGAGAAGCCCCATATGAAAACGGGGACAGAACAGAAGCAGAGTTTTCACAATGCTTCAATAAACTGAATAGCAAGACCTTCTATAGATATACTCAGGCATGCAAAGGACAGGCCCAACCCAATGAAAGGGGGGACATTAAAATATCAAGAATCAAGTTAAACCTATCAGGAGATGGGAATTCCTTTTCATACAGGCTGGACCAAGGCCCACTGTCTAAACTCCTGCCCGCAAATTACTGGAGCTGCCACCAGCTACCTGAGGTACACCTGAGCAGCCCCAGGCTGACAGCTAAAGCAATTCAGCAGGTAACGCTGTGGCAGCCTTAGATCCACGGAAGGAGTGCTGGTGTCGCAGGGTTAGAAATCTGGAGGGCGGCAAGGATGGGCAGGGCAAGCAGGGTCTAACCTGGGAGAGGGGGAAACAGCAGCAAGAGAAAGGGTGGCAAGTCAGGGCTTGGCTTGGAAGAGAATATAAAAAGGGAGAAGAACCAAGACAGGGGGTGGGCAATGTATTTCTTCCCACCCTTCCTTATTATCAATGAAACCTCGTAGGATGGTTGCATTTTACACAAGAAATTCTTAAACCCTGACACATTCTTAATTCACTAGAACAGGTGTCAAAAGCGAGATTCACATTTTAGACTGGGTACATAAACTGAAACTTTATTAACATATTTTCTAAAGTGGCAGTTTTAAATTTGCATGAAACGCCACGGCAGTATGTTTGAGGAAGAAGGGCCCCCCTGCACACAAAGGGGCAAGGCTTGGGACCAAAGGAGTAAGGGGGCCAAGGCAGGCTGGAGAGGGGGCTGTCGGGGGACGGAGTGGAGGGAAAGGCAGAGAAAGCAGGTAGGGGTCTGGGCGGGCAGAGACTGCAGAGGCTGGCAGTGGGCAGGTTGAGGGAGCCTGGCTGAGCAGGAACTTCACTGATACCCGTGGGTCTTCCAGGACGAGGGGCAGCGGTCCCATTTAACCAGGGTCAGGAGGTTCCGGTTAAGCTAAAGGGGCTCCCTACCCAAACGGATCCAGCTGAGGAGGAGAACGGCCCAGCCTGGAGGCCCAGCTGGGGCCCGCCCAGGAGGAGCCTGGCGTGGCCGGACACAGGGGAGCGCGGTCAAGCTCAAGGAGAACCCCTTCCCACCAGGTCTGGGTGAGGGTGGGGAGCACAGGGCCGTCCCGGCAGAGCGGCGGGCGACGCGGCCTGGCCGGCCGGGGGGGTCTGGGTGGACCCCGGGCCGGTCAGGGGGCCAGCGGCCGACTCCGCTGAAGGCGATAAGGGGCCCAGGTCCCGGGGCGAGGGCAGGGGCGCGGTCGGGCCGGCACTCACTCTCGGTGACCCTGCTGAGGCGCAGGACGTGCTCGGGCCGGATGGTGTCCAGAGCCAGCAGCTCCTGCTCCGTGACCGCCGCCCCGATGCCGTCCTCTGCCGCGTGGTGGGGCGCCTGCCGCCGCGCCTTGAGTCGGTTCAGCACGCCGCCGCCCGCCTTCTTCTTCTCTTCCTTGCCGGCCACCAGCCCCCCAGGCCCAGCCGCCGACCCCGCGGCCGCAGCCTTCGGGTTCGACCCGCTCATCGCTCCGCCGCCAAGATGGCCGCCGCCTCCGCAGCGCCGTAACTATGGAGAGCGGGGGCGGGGTCCGGGGTGGTACCTGGGGGCGGGGGCGGGGCGGGGCGGGGCTGGGGGCGGGGCCTGCGGGCTGCAGCCAGCCGCCTCCTCTGCCAGCTAGGTCCCAGCCAGGTGGTGAGCCCTAGGGGTGGCCGGGGGGTGCCAACCCCCCAGACTCCATCAGGCTCCGAAGGTCACTCCAAATGTCTTTAAAATATTTCACACAAATGACTTTCTGTCATATAAACTAGGCAAGGCATCTTGAGGAAATGTTCTCTAATCTGTAGCACAGAAGTTAAAACAAGTGCTTGCTATGCAAAAGCAGCTTTCCCAATTAGATTACCATTTTTAAACCCTACTGTGCTAAGCTTTGAGCTAGACATCGGGCTAGATTACAGGAAATGTAAGAATATGAACCAAGACAGGGATTAGGTCCACCCTATTCACTACTGTATTCTGGCAGCAGAGTTAATGCCTGCCACGGTCGGTGCTCAGTAATGACTGAATGAGTGAAGGCATGCCCCACAATAAAGGAGCTCCCCCTTTGTTGGGGAAGACTGTGAAGTACATAATTCATTATGTGGCGCTTCCTCTTGACCAGCCCAGTATGAATGAAATAGAAGACGAGCCAGACTGCTAACTGCTCCAACAGAGGTACAGCAATGGTGCTACCAGAACACACAGGAGTGGCCTGGCCGAATCAGAAGGGGCTTCACAGAGGTAACATCTGCACAGAACGGGGGAAGTTAATCATGATTTCACTAAGTGGAGGAGGTGGGCCAAGGGGTTGGGCGGGTAGGTGGAGGGTGGGTTAAGGCTGCCCTCTCACACCCCAAGTGGCTCCTTCTCTAGGGATTCTGGGTCAACAATCTTCTGTGTTAGAGGCCTGGGTCCAACTGTTGTACTGCGTCTGCTAGGTCTGATATCACCTCTTAGCCAGACTTAGACCAGAGTGAAACTCCACCCCTCTCCCCACAATCAGCCTCAAGACTTGGTTTATACCAGGCTTTGCTCGGTCCCTCTCACCTTATGTAAGGGACTTGGGAGGAGCTGACAGGCCTAGCCTGGTTCCTGGACAAAATCCAAACCTGACTCCACCCCAGCTGCCCAGCCTACTGGAACAGTATGTGGCCGAGTTCCTATCTAAATGCTGCCCTATCTTTGAGAGATTACAACTGGGTGGCATTTACCAAACCGTTCAGGAAAATTTTATTTATTTATTTATTTTTAAATACTTTATTTGAGAGAGAGAGAGAGATCACAAGCAAGGGGAGGGTACAGGGAGAAGCAGACTCTCTGCTGAGCAGGCACCTAACGTGGGACTCAATCCCAGGACCCTGGGATCATGACCTGAGCCTAAGGCAGACGCTTAACTGACTGAGCCACCCAGGTGCCCAGTTCAGGAAAAATTTAATAGATGTGTACAAAGAATTAAAGTCCTTCCCTTCGCAAACAACTCTTTTTAAACCACTCAGCAGTGAGTGGTTACTGAAGAATTTCCAGAACTTTTAATACGCTACTTAATTGTGAATCACCAGGAGGGAGGCTCAGCATGCAGCCATTTCCCACACTCACTTACTCACTAAACCTTCGTTCTCAGAACACCAGGACTAGTTACCTGGATCCCCACTTTTCTTTCTAGGAATTATAAGAAATGTATTACCCCCCTTACCTGCAACTCCAGATCCTTTAGCACAAAGATGTTTACCACAGGACCATTTGTAACACTGAAAAATTACAATAAATTACAGTTGCACCCATTCATGTTATGCAGCCGTTAAAAAGAATGAGATCCGGGCGCCTGGGTGGCTCAGTTGGTTAAGTGACTGCCTTCGGCTCAGGTCATGATCCTGGAGTCCCGGGATCGAGTCCCGCATCGGGCTCCCTGCTCGGCAGGGAGTCTGCTTCTCCCTCTGACCCTCCTCCCTCTCATGCTGTCTCTCATTCTCTCTCTCTCAAATAAATAAATAAATAAATAAATATATTAAAAAGAATGAGATCCATCTATATGTACCAGTATAGAGAGAGCTTAAAGATATATTAAGGGGGGGGGGAAGCCTCCGAATCCCATTTGTTTAAAATAAAAAGGACATGAATATATGGATTTGTATTTGTAACTGCAAAGGAAGAGGTCTGGAAATGCACTAAAGTGTTACCCATGGTTCCCTCTGAGGAGGAGAGTATTGGAAAGACACGAGAGCTACTTCTGCACTGTTTTATCACAGCAGGCATGTGATCATAGGTTGCTTGTATATATATATCTTAGGATCTCTGTCTGGAAAAAAATGCAAAGCCAAAGTAGCCTTCTCTGCTCTTAAAATTTACAAGCAACTTCACACTTGATCACTTTTTTCTGCTCAAAAGAAAGTTAAATAAAAACTGCCATATAAGGGAGTTAGGGCCTGTACTCTCTCAGGTCACCACCTATGAATGTGATTAAAAGGAAGAGGCTGTCTTTAGAAAACACACACAGAAATAATACATATATATAATAATGTATTTATATATATGGAAGGAGTAGGAAAAATAAGGGCTATAAACTCCAATCTGCCTCTGCTTCTCTTCACCAAATCTTCCTAAGGCATATCAAAAGGCTCTTTTAAAAATTTTTTGTAAAGTACATAAACTAATACTGTGTTTGGGGGAACGAGGACAACAGAGATCTACTGCATTAAATTGTAACCCCAAGGTTTCCCTGGGCTAGATGGGTGAAGACCAGCGTGGAAAGGATGGCCTTCCCTTCATCCCAACCCCAAGCTCCACAAGTCCCTCTCCTTCAGCTGGTTGTTTTCCTCGCTGTAAGAGATGTGACAGGAGCTGTTTTCCAGGGCAGCCCCAGGGTAGCCAGGCAGTCTGCCTCAAATCAGGCCAGGTGGGGCCTGGAGCTGGTGCAGCCAAGGTAAGCAAGACATTAGAGGGCTTTTTTCTGCAAAGACTGGGAAATTCAGTCCTCCTTCCAAGTGCCTCCTAAAGGTGGCATGCATCAAATCAGCGGGTCAGGCTGGGGCTGCAGGCATGCCTTGTGGTCTGGGACTGAGCTGGTGTATTTCCCTAGTACCCAAGTCACCACTCTCCCTGGCTGAGGGTTGTTTTTACAAAGTATTAATTTATTATTTATATCCCACCTGTTTCCAAAAAGGATTTCTGGCCTCATCCCAAATCATACAGCACAAGATTGGTGAGCAAAAATTCATGGAGCCTTGTGAATTTGTAAATGCATGTACTCTTTGACCCAGTAATTCCCTAATGGAGTCTGAAGAAACACTTGTACGTGTGCACAATACATATGTGAAAATATGTGCATATGGACATATATAAAAATACATATAAAAGGAAATATACACACCAGACTGTCACCTGTATTATCCTCTAGGGATTACACAGGTAGGTATGAGGATGATTGAGTTTTCACATTTTGCACCCCATAGAACTTAAAAAATATATATATGTTTATGCATTTCCTGTATCACTAAGTCTTAAAGGGTTACTTTCTTTTCCAGAGAAGGAATGATATGATACACCTCCACATAACCATCACCCAGCATCATTAGTTACTTTCATTCAAACAGTTCTTTTTAAAGAACAGTCCGTGGTGTCTGGAAAACAGTATGGAGGTTCCTCAAAAGTTGAAAACAGAGCTACCCTACGACCCAGCAATTGCACTACTGGGTATTTACCCCAAAGATAACAAATGTAGTGATCCGAAGGGGCACGTGCACCCCAACATTTATAGCAGCAATGTCCACAGTAGCCAAACTATGGAAAGAGCCTAGATGTCCATCGACAGATGAATGGATAAAGAAAATGTGATATATATATATACGTACATACACAATGAGGTCATTATGCAGCCATCAAAAAATGAAATCTTGCCATTTGCAACAATGTAGATAGAACTAGAGGGTATTATGCTAAGCGAAATAAGTCAGAGAAAGACTATTATCATATGATCTCACTGATGTGAGGAATTTGAGAAACAAGACAGAGGATCATAGGGGAAGGGAGGGAAAAATGACACAAGACGAAACCAGAGAGGGAGACAAACCATAAGAGACTCTTAATCTCAGGAAACAAACTGAGGGTTGCTGGAGGGGAGTGGGTGGGAGGGATGGGGTGGCTGGGTGATGGACACTGGGGAGGGTATGTGCTATGGTGAGCGCTGTGAATTGTGTGAGACTGATGAATCACAGACCTGTACCCCTGAAACAAATAATACATTGTATGTCAATAAAAAAAAAATTAAAAAAAAAAAAAAGAAGAGCCCGTGGTGGCATTGAGAGCATGAGCGTGCGGTTTGACCGTCCCAGTCCTCACTCTGCCACTGACCAGCTGTGGGACTTTGCATGGGTCATCTATCCCCTCTGAGCTTTCCTTTCCTCCTTTATAAGTCGAGCTAGACACACGTCTCCCCTAGGGCTACACTGAAGAAGAGATGAAAATGAGCAACGAAAAGCAAAAAGCACGATGCTGGTGCTAGGGAGTATGTCTCATGCATGGTCAATATGCCAACCTATTTCGGTGGCCTTTCTGCAGGACCCCTCCGCTGAGGGCAGGCATGCTGGACAGAGAGAAGACATGGAGCTGGACGGGAGAGTGTGTTGACTGGAAAGAGCCGAGGGGAAACAAGCTGGAAACCAGGCTTGAGGAAGTGACACACAGACTCCAGGGGCAGCAGCAAGGAAACCTAGGAGAGCAAGTCTGAGCACAAGGTCAAACCGAAAAGCAAGTGGGGTTATGTTTTACTAACATATACGTGGGTAGCAACCAAACTACGACTCTTGGGCCAGAGTCCTGCAGTGAGGTGCCTGCCATCTCAGGTTGCTAGAGAGCAGAGGCAATCCTGCTCCAGAACCTCCCTGCTCCACCTCCTCTCTGCCTTGACCCCTCACAACTGCTAACAGCAACAAGCTTTCCAGTAAATGTGGGGAAAACTCATCTCTCTTCCTCTATAAGGGGTGGGGGTGTAGGGGTACTAAGTATGGAGAAAGGTCCAGCACACCGGCTCCAGCCAACCGGGAGCCTGATTTCCTTAGCGAGATTAAGATCTGGACCCAAGGAGTGGTTTAACCCAACCCCCAGCACTTGGCCCAAGATCTTCTGTCAGACAGTTTTCCTCCCTGCAACTCCCTAGAGCAAGGCTTCTTCAGGTCTCTTCCCCCATTTGGCAGCTCGTGGAAAGCTACTTGAAATAGTAACAGCTAGGTCTGAATTAGTAAAGAATTCCAGTTATGGGTGGGCTCGAGCTAAGAAAGAGGCTCTGTGGGCCTCCTGGTTTATTAGGGCCCTGAGAACACTCCATCAACACTGGCCTCATTCTTGGAGCTGAGCACTGAATTCTGCCCTTCAAGGGGTAACTGAGGGAGGTAGGCCAAACTCTCCCTCCCTCTCCTCGTACCAGCAGCCTCCATTCCTGCTGGGGAAATTTAGCAGGTAGGTTCTGGAGTCTGGAGCCAGTCGCATAGCATCGTGGGTAAAGGAAAGGTAATGAGAGTAATAAGGGCGTCATGATCAAGAGCCAGAGTCCAGGTATAAAATCCCAGCTCTGTCTTTTGCTGGCTGTATGGCCTTGGGCAAGTCACTTCACCTATGAAAGGCTAATACCAACTGGTTTGTTGGAAGATTAAACAGGAGTAACATCTGTAAAAGTGCTTGGCATTGTGCCTCATCCATTTCGAGGGCTTCATAAGAGGTATCTACCATCGTCCTTACAGCCTTAGAAAGAACATGGGCTTTGCAGGCAGACAGACGGAATTCGAAGCCTGCCTTGACCATTTGCTGACTAGCCTGGGGTAAATTACTTAAGTTTTTTGAGTTTCATGTTCCTTAGCTGTAAAACGAGGCAGATAAATTACAGGAAAAACATCCTTTGGTCTTTCTGCCCCTTCCCAATGTACACTCAACACTGACAACACACTAGAAAAAGAGAAAGCAGTTAGGGTATGTGGGTGGCTCAGTTGGTTAAGCATCTGACTCGATTTTGGCTCAGGTTATGATCTCACGGTTCTGAGACTGAACCCTGTGTTGAGCCCATGTCAAGCTTGCTGAAGATTCTCTCCCTCTCCCTCTGCCCACTCCCCACCCCAATCCCACAGTGCGTGCTCTCGCTCTCTCAAAAAAAAGGGGGGGGGGGCAGAGAAAACTGTCCCAGGGCTTGGTCTGTCCACAGGCTGTCATGGAAGCTGAGTGAAAGACGTGCACTGGGAGGGAGACAGTCATGGCCTGGAGTTCCAGTGAAAGTGGAAACAAAACAAAACAACTGTTTATTTTTCCTTGAATGCACTGCTGGCTGAAATGGCCAGGCAGAGTTTTACAGAAATTCATTCCCTTAAACAAACATCCTGGCTAAAATGGACAAAAGCCCCAGGGGTGCCTGGGTGGCTCAGTCGTTGGGCGTCTGCCTTTGGCTCGGGTCATGATCCCAGGGTCCTGGGATCGAGCCCCACATCGGGCTCCCTGCTCGGCGGGAAGCCTGCTTCTCCCTCTCCCACTGCCCCTGCTTGTGTTCCCTCTCTCGCTATGTCTCTGTCAAATAAATAAAATATTAAAAAAAAAAAAAATGGACAAAAGCCCCTAGTCTTGTCACAGGAGAGCCCTTCGCAGCCAAGTGAGCCCCCGGGTCTCCCTTTTCCCACCCCATCACTTCACCTTTTTGCAATCAAGTTCAAACTCAATCTCAACAGAGTGTCACTGCAAATTGTTTATTAAAACACAAAGCAATGGACAGTGAAAAACATCCTGATTTTTTTACTTTTTGGTGGGAGTAGGGTGGGGCATGTAAAGGGTAGGGACAGACGGAGACAGCCCAGAAGGAAAGACAGCTCTATCCACCCCTACTGCTTTCCCGGGCCAGCCAGGTTCAAAGCCCCTCACTGTGCTGCTGTAAATGCATGTTGTGGCCACAGACAAAGAGTTGGTTTGACCTCTGCAGGGAGAGGATGGGAATCTAGGAACTACCAGGGCTACTATGAACTTGACACTATTCTCCAGTACTTGGTACAGAACAGAGCAGCCAGGCCCAATCTGGAGGGGCAGGGTAGGTTTCCTGACAAGCCAGGTTAGGCCGATAATGGTTGAAGAGGCTGCCCTGAGCTCAGAATGGGCAGCTGCTCCTAGCGTGTGAGAACATGGTGGAAGGAAAATCCAAGGAGGGGACTAATCCAGGGTCAAATTTCTTTTCATTCCCTGGATCATGACACACCAGGGAAGAGAAGAGTCAAGAACGCCTCATTCCTGGTTTGCCGTGAAGATCTCCCTGCCAATTCTCCCCTCCCACCTGGCAACTCAGCTCTCCTTTCCCGACAGTTGTCCTTTGAAAGGACGGAAAGCACACTTCAGTTTGTTGTTGTTTTCCCTCATACTGAAATAAAGCACTGAAGCTCAAAATAGAGGTGAGAATGAAGTTCTGCTTCTCCTGGTGCTATGTGCCCCCATCTCACAAGCCTGCCTGGATGTGAGAGGTGCCAGGGCCCTCCCTGCCAACTCTAACAGGACTACTGTTTCCCTGGCTGCCAGCACAATCCTGGCTCCTTGTTTTTATACTCCTGGGGGGGGTGGGGGGGTGGAAGGGGACCGTCCCAAGAGATCCATCCTGCTCTTTTCCTGCCAACCCAGCCAGTCCCCAAATCACCTGCTCTTATCAGAATGATTTGGCAACCAAAGGCAGGCTAGCCAAAAGGCAGCTGGAGAAGGACAAACTAGATCGGCAGCAAGCCACCCTTGTACAAAGAAACCCGCCCTAGCTGGGCAGCTGACCCACTGATGCCAATCTGGTCTCATAATAAAATGAGGAAACCTAGCCCTCTTGCCCCAGGAGAGGTCTAAATACAGAAAGAGTCCGAGCTCGGATGGATAGGGAGAAACTACTCTGATCTCTCTGAAGCTTGAACATTAAGGCTTCTTTGCAATTTTCTTAGAGCTCTTTGAACCCTAATTAGATCTTTCCATAGAAGAGAAGCAGACTTCTAAAATTTCTGAACACATCCCAGGTGTTTCTGGTTCTGCTTCTGCACTATCACTTAGCCTTACCCCAGGCTCCTTCCCCAGGGCCACAGCAAAAGGAGGCCCAAAGCATCTCCTCCTCCTTCCTTTTTGAACAGGAGCATCTGTTAGTCTCTCAGTTTGGAAAGCTCACCTGCTCTCCTAGGCCCTTTGGAGAGGCATGGAGGACAATATGACATGTTGCCACTTGATGCCATTAAGGCTCCTTGAGGCAAGAAGACACTTGAATTAGGTGAGAGCCGGCCAGCAAAGGGGAAGGGGAGAGAGGGATGGGGAAGCAGCCCCATGGCAGGGACTGAAAGACCCCTGCCCAGACCTGAATCTAGAGGGAATGCCCACCCTGGCTCAGAGCAGGAGAGGAAAAGGCACTGTGCTGACCGGGGGTGGGTCCTGCCCCAATCTCCAGGGAGGGTAGAGAACCTGTGGACTCTTTCCCTAGGCTTCCCAAGGTGAGCCAATTTCTAGAGAAAGGAGTATACCTCCTGCTGTTTTCTGAAGTTCAAATGAGATTCTAGAAGCCATGGCCAGGCCTTCTCAGGAGAAAGTAGAGGCAGGATAAAAAGGAAGAGAAATTCCTTAAAACAGAAGCTTCTCCAAAAAGATAAAGAAGTCAAAACACAATTCTGAAACTGGATTAAACAGTTTCCAGGCACAGAAAGGGGGGGAGGTAAACCTAAACTTCACCTCATCTCTTCAAAGTCTAATTGACCTCTAATGTGATCCCCCAATTTCAGGCCAGTATCTCTTAGGCAAACAGTGGGAAAAAGAGAACAAGGTCACACTCTCAAACCAGCCGGTGGCCCTGTAGGCCCTATGACCCCCCCCGGGAGTCTGACCCCACTGACATGTGAAGAGAACCATCTTTCAAGTCACCAGAATTCAAGATATCCACTGAGCAGCTTCTCCTCCATAGCGGAGACTTTATGGGAAAATGGACCTGGTTTAGGGGACATGGGTCCCACAGATTATTTCCTGGCACAACATTTCAGTCAGCGTGAGTAAAACCCACAACGGCCACCTGGCCCCTGACCCAAATCAGAGCTAGGCTGCAGATTCTCAGCCCATCCCCAGCAGACGTCTTTGTGTGGTCTACCCAGAAACTGAACCAAAAAAGGAGTTTCATCTTGGCCATCTGTTCTTGGCTTTGGCCAGCTGGGGTCAGGGAAATCTAAAAACCTAGGGGAGCATGGATCCAGTAGAAGTGCCCAGATATCCCTTTCCCCAGGCCTCAGTGGCATCCCTCATCACCTCCCCAACCCCAGTCTCCCAGCAGCGTGGCTGCCTGGTCCTCGCACTAGCTCAAAATATAGGCAGGGGAACACACAGTGCAAAAAGCAAACGATGAACAGAGTAATTCGTGACACACACAATACAAAAATAAAAATACAGAGTGCCCCACCCCACCCCTTTAACCTAAACTTCATGTACCTATATCATCTTGGAGGAGCCAAAAACAAAAAAAAAAACAAAACAAAAAACAAGCTTTCAAGTTCAGCATCCTGGGCCAGCTGTGACTGGCCCTGGGCAGCTCTGTTAGCTGGGTGGGCTTGGCTCCAGGGGACTCTACCCAGGCCCCCACCATACTTCTTCCTGTTTCCTCACTTCTCCTTTAGTTTTTGTGAGCCATAGAAAGATATTCCTTCCTTTCGGACACAAGCAGAGGAAAATGCCCATCCCTATCCCTGAGCTCAGGGGAAAGAAGTGGGCTTGGAAACAGGAGTGGGCTTGGAAGCAAAGCTGCTTGGCTTACAGTACCATTAGGAAATGGCCCCAGGAGCCAGGGTTTCCTTCTGAGACTCTGAGTCACTGAAGGGATGGGTTGAGGTGAGGAGGCGGGACCCCTCCTTCCTCAGAGACCCAGGCAAACTAACAAACAAGGCAAAATGGAGGCAGCACATCCTCCTTCCTCATCTCGTCTCCTTCGCTGGCAGTGGACTACAGCTGTGGGGACTTCTGATGGAAGACGAACCGAAGCCACTGTCAGAAGCTCAGTCAATAGGATGTCCACTGCCCCAGGCAGGGGGTCCCCAGGATCAAGGCCATAGGATGCCATCCTTTAAAGCAGGGAGCTTTGTGAAGCACTCCAGAAGTGTTCCTCTTACTGCGGCCTCAGGCCACAGCCATCCAGATGCCTGACTCAATACCCTACTACTGAGGCCTAAGTCACAGCTAAAATAAAGGGCTCCAACTCTCAAAGGACTAAATGCTGGCCCAGAGTAACTCATCAAGAGTCAAAACCCAGGACATGAGCCCAAAGGCTACTTACTTTGTCACATAACAAACAGTTCAAATATATGGAGCTCTTTAAAAACATTAAAAAAAAAAAAGACAAAATTAAACACATTCTAAAATGATGAGCTTTGTCTGAGATTCTATGGTGCTCCAGCCCAAGCAGAAGCTAATCCTGCTGCCTTCCATCCACAAAATTCCTTGTAGCTTGGCTGGGTCCTCCCTCATTGCTGCCCTAACTGGGAAAAGGATAACAGTGACCAGAAAGGAAGAGAACAGGGAAGCTTCATTTCCTGCAGAAGTTTTTCCAGGGAATTTAAGACAGACACTTAGATGCTAAGGTTGGCTTCAGAGCTGCCAGGACTATGGCTGACTGGAAATCTTTCAGCCCCGTCACACCAAGAACTCAACTGTAACTTGGATAGGGAGATGAAAGGGCAGAGGGGCATACTATTAAGATCAGTGAGAGGCACCCCCGGGCCAGATACCATCAGTCTAGCTCTGTGGGGCAGCCCTGGGCATAAACCAAAACTGGTTGACTTGTGCCACAGACACAAGATGGGAAAAACTAACATCAGACACTAGACAGACACTCTAAACAGTGGTCAGTCACTTAGTAGGGCTCAAGTCTCTGAGGTGGCTCTTAAGTTATGCTAACATAAGCCTTTTCTAATCCAAAGACCAGAAGAGACTTTTAAGGTCAAGTGTTGTGTTGCTGCAGGCTGGAAAGCATCCCTGTCCCCCGGCAGCAAGACCCTACAGAGGGGCCAGTAAAAGAACTGCTGGGTCAGGTCCTCCTGGCTGCTGGCTCAGAGATCCAGGGAGGGAAGTACCAACAAGGTGAGGTGGTAGAGAATAAGACATTCAAGCAAAGGGAACCCCAAATCCCCATGTCTCCTTCCCTTCTTGGCAATAACTTAGCAGGATGACTGGGAGAGAGAGAAGGGATTTCAAATGAGCCAGATTAAGGGGGGGAAATGAGAGGAAATCAAGTCCCCAACAGGCACTGAAATTAAAATGATTTGTTGTGGTAACAAGTCAGAGGCAACTTGAGGACCTGACATAAACTATTCGTCTTGGATACCAGACAGTCCTCTAACTGGCACATGTCAGGGAGACAAGCAATGACAAAGCGCAAACACTTAAGGTGGAAGCATCATTAGGCTGAAACCAGAAAGGCTTCCAAGTAAGGAAGTATCTACTTTTCTTTCTTTTTTTGTTTAATCCCCCCCTGTTTTCATCTTTATCATACAAATTATACACCTTCACACATACACAAAGCACACACACTTTCAATCCCAGGACATCTGAAAACTTATCTGGACATCACTTCGGAACATACCCAACTCCCAGCGCTGGTCTTCTCAGGTAATAAGATGACATTTCCCTGCTGTTAATTTCTAACCTAAAAAAAGGAACCATGTCTGCTCTGGGTTCAGAGTTCTTTCCACTAGGTGTGCAGACGAGGATCCTTGAACGTGTAGGATCCGCTTTACCCTAAGTACCCTGGAGAGGAAAGAGACGGCTGGGGCCAGCCACAAAGAGAGCACAAGGACTGAAGCGGGGCTGGGACCAGTGGTGGATGAGGGCTGCTCTCTACCCACTCTGCCTCCTTTTTTCTCCTTTAATTTTTGTGTGTGATTTTTGTCTGTTTGTTTTTTTTGTTAATCACTGTGAAAAATACAGAAACCAAAACGAGTATGTTTGGTTTCTTTCCCTCACCCCTCCACCCAGTTCAGGATGGTATTTGTTCTCACAACCGGCAGAGGCAGAAGAGGGTTGGAATGAAGACTCCGAAGGCCACCAGGATGGGAAACATGAGGCTGCTGTTGTCCGAGGCATAGGGGTTGGGCGTGCGGGGGCCTGACTGCACCCGGTTCTTATTGGTCTGTCTTTTGAGGTTAGACCCTTCATCGTATTCTTCTTCTTCCTCCTCCTCCTCTTTCTTCTCCAGTCCTGGATGAGGCTGCAGCTTTGGTACATCTGACACGAGAAAACAGAGGCCTGTTAAGTAAGATCCACGGCATTTGAGTGAGACCCTTAAGAGCCGTAAATGAGCCACAACAAAGAGATGCTACGACCTATGCTGGGTCCACAGGGAAAAAAAAGAAGTAGCAGAAATAGCTCCTGGCCTAGAGGATAGCAGATTGCTGCAAACACTTAGTCTTCTTTAGATTTAACTAAAACACAGTAAAAGCCCTGCGCCCAGGGAGGTTCGCTATCTCCCCTTCCTGTCCTACTTCTTCAGAACCACGGGAGGACCAGATTGAACAGAGACAATGACCCGACACCCAAAACTTAACCTTTTCAAATCCCTCCTGCAGCCTCCGCAATCCCACATTCCCTTCTGATTCACAAAGCAACTGAGGAAAAGCTGAGCCACAGAGCCTTGGGTTGTTAGCACTCACTACCGCTCTGCTCTGCCTCCTCCTTAGGGGATCAAGCTACAAATCTGTTTTTGTGGCAAGACTTCTGCCTAGATGTCAGAATACCAGCATCTGGGGACACATCAAGACAACAGGATGAGCCCCCTGGTGCATTCAGGATGAGTTGGGAAAATGTACAGAGGTGGAATGGAGGTGAAAAGTCACTTAGACACAAGCTTTCTCTGCAAAAAATAAGCCTGGGAAGCTGGTGGGTAGGATCATCGCAATGCTGAGAAAGCGATACACCCTAAGGCTGGATCCCAAGAACAAGGAGACATTGGTAAGTAAACTTTTGTCCAGTACAGTCCAGCAATTCTGGACTCTCTCAGAGCATACCAAAATGCTAAAGGACTCCTCCTCCTTTTGTCTTTTCCCTTTTTGCTCCCAGGAAATAGATGTCAAAGAAAGAGAATATGGACAAGTTTTAGGCAATTCCAAAAGACTACAAGGTCAGGGCACACCAGTAGGTACCATTATTAAGCCAAATTTACAGTGAAGTTAAAGAAATTTGTCCAAAACCAAAGAGCTGATTAAGTGGCAGCAACAAAATTTGAACACAGACCTTACTCCAAAGCTTATGGCCAGCACCATGCTACACTTCATCCCCATCCATCTGGCTCTGGATTCCCCACAATTTGGCTTTAAGTGTTCTCACAAGAGTGATCAGCTAAATTATTCCCCCAAGGGTTTCCTCAACTATATCCTTCAGCCCAAGGAAAAAAGGAGGTTAAAGACGCCACTTACCATCCACTGTCCCAGCCATGATGTAGAGTGCACAAACTTTGGGATTGTCATAGTACCCCTAGGAAATGGGAAACCATGGTCAGCACCACACAGCAGTAAACATTCCCCCTGCACCCATTCTTTTATTAAACATTTCCTCAGCAGGGAGGGCAGAGGGAGAGCATTACCTTAACAAACTCGATGTAGAGTTTCCCTGTGAAGGTGGACACCTCCCCTTGGACACTCAGCTTCCCCTTTCTGATGCTCATAGGGATGATTTCATCATGAGCTGTGCTGTGCCCAACACGATCAAAGATATCCAAGTCCTTCACCACAACATGGCCATTCAATCGCACATCAAATACCTTCCACAATTAAAAAAAAAGAGAGAGAGAGAGAGAGACAATGTCAAAACCATCAGCTTCATACCCCTTTAGCAGCTGGACATTACCTGCCTGGATCTTCAAGTTCAGAAATAATTTTTAAAATGACAGGGCTGGATATAGTCAAGGGTACCAAGTTCTTTACATGAGCTAAATCAAAGCCAAGTTCTTTCACTGTCCTTAGGAACAAAGAATACAAACAAAAAGCTCAACATGGACAGAAGGAAATTCGCAAGAGACAGGAAAAGAATAAGGCTAAATACAAGAAAGTGCTGACAACCAAGGAAGACAACCAGGATCAGTTAGTTGCCAAGAACTAAGATTCTGGCATTGCCTTCTGTCACCAACCCCCAAGGCAAGTGCAGCCTTGTGAGCAATGGGACATTGCTTCTCTAGGGGCAGAAGGAATCCAGCTTTTCCTCAAAGCTCACCTGTTCCTCCCTTCTGGGGAGGCTCTTACATTCTCTGGCCCATAGCAGGGGACTATCCAAGAGTGGCAATGTCCCACTGACCAGGCCTCACCTTCTGCTGGGACTGTGCAAAGTAGACCTCGGCAAATTTCAACACCAGCACATAATCCCCCTCCTCCTTAATGGGCACTTCGTAGCCAAAAGTCTCCTCATTGTACCGCTCTGTTTGATACAGGATCTGGTCCTCCGGGTTGGAACGCAGGATTGGCAGTTTCATACCGTAGTCAGAGGCTATGGACAAAAAACAAGAGAAACCACATCAGAGGCAAGACACACAAAAAAAGGAGAGACCCCAGAACTGCTAGCCATTTCCAGGGCAATGCGAGTAACCTTCCCAGGGGAAGGGGCCACCCCCTATCCGCCTGGCTCTAAAGAGACCAGACACAAAGGCAAGAATTAGAGAGCCATTACCAAGGAAGAGTAAAGTGAGAGAAACCAAACACTAATTACCCCAACAGCTCCCTAACCCTCAGAGTAGAACTTTTTAAAAGCCTGTTAAAATGACTTTCCTCAACTGCACAGAGAGTGACAGGAAGAAAACAGGCGATAGCTACAGTTCCTGGCTCCCTGAGAAGGGGAACTTCAGAGAAAGCTCATAAAACAGGGGGGGATGGCCAAGAACTCTGCAAGATGATTAAGTTCAGAGAATGTGTGTGGTTTGTTTTGTTTTGTTTTTTTCATTCAGAAAAGCTCAAGAGTCTAAAACAAACAGGCTATGTTAGGAAAGTCATTTCTGCATTGTCTTTATTGCAAGTAAGATACCAGCTTAGTTGCTTTTTATAATTTTCATTCACAAAGTTCCAAGGCTGGTAAAGAGAAACATGCTCATAAGAAGGGTGTGATGCTAATTTCCTTTACATGCAAGCACCTTAATTCTCACAAACTCACAAAACTCAACCTCACCTACTCTCTCTTGCACATTCCCTCAGTTAAACTGAAAGAAGAAAAAAAGTTCCTACTGTGTCCCCAGCACCTAACAAGGTGGCTGGCACATAAAGAGGCACTTAATATGATTTGCTGAACTAACAAACAGCAACAAAGGAGGTGCCTGCACAGCAGTGAAGCCATGCTATTCTCTCCACAGGGCTAGAGCCATCCTATAGCAAGAAAAAAATCTGCCAAGGTCCTACTGGCACCTCTGGCCTAAGATGCCCAAGTCCTTGGGGAGCCACCTTTCCCATGTCATAGACTGACAAGGAATAAGGCAGGGTAAAAGTAAAAAGACGCCTGGGTGGCTCAGTTGGTCGAGCATGTGGCTCTTGATCTCAGAGTTATGAGTATTCAAGCCCCACTCTGAGCATAGAGCTTACATTAAAAAAAAAAAAAAAAAGGTAAAAAGTTACATATCTTGGGTCGGTATCAGAAGAGCGGAAAACCTCTATTGCCCCCAGCCCTCTTCCCCAGCCTTGGTAGAAGACAAAACTATGTATGTTTTTCTCCTGCTCCATAACAAACTAGACTGGGGTCTTTCCTCAAACATAAGACACCAACCACACTCCAGCCCCAGAGGTGAATAGCTATGCTTCCTCCTTCGAAAGTAGCTTCTCTGATTCCTTTATCATGTAAACACAATGAGGCTTTCCAGTGCTCCATAAATCTACTTTCCAAACTACAGACTTAGCAATGATTTTGGTACAGGCCCAGTCGCTCCTCCAGCCCGGAATTAAGATTTCAAAACCACCTTCCAATCTCACACAGTGACTCTGAAGACATTTGGCACCTAGGTCCTTTGGGAGATGTCCAAGAGCAGTCATCCCTGGAGCTTTACCTTCTGAATCATCAAAACTCCAAGGGGATCTTTTATCTCCAAGGGAGGTAAAAGAGTAACTAAAAGAGCCAGTGGCTAAGGTCAAGCCCTCAAAAAAATAAACATAACTGTTAACAGTTCCTGTAAGGGGACAGTTAGCCATGACATCAGATGGACCTGATGAGACAATGCAATAGGAAACTCACTGCCCTTTTGTCTTCAGACCTTTTTCTTCTTATTTCTTCTCAAGAAATAGCACTACAAAGGATGTACTGCCAACACGCCTCAGCTCCTTCCCAGGCTCAAACCATTACACCAGGGCACAAACCCATAAAGATTAAAAGACTGCTATTTCTCTTCCACTTGAGTTCTAAGAATTTCCTTCTTCCATGAGAACCATGATCCTTACAAATTTGGAACATTAACTAGATTTGATTTTTAGATACACAGAAAATTTTGTGCATGTGTGGGGAATTTTTTTTTTTTCTTGCCGAGTGGAAAAAGTGAGAAACTGACAGTAATGTAATCTGTAACAGCCTCAGTCTCACAACTAAGAAAACTCAGCCATGTGAATAAAAACTACTTAACAACCTTGGAATTACCTTTAAATATTTTCCCTTTAAAGCCCAAGTGGCTTTCCCAAGAGATCTGCCACATGTAAAGTTGCATTTGCCCAAGTCCCAAGAGATGCAGCAGCAAAAAGGATTTTTTTCTTTCCCCCTTAGACTTTATGTATTCACAGCTAAACAGCTTTCTCTAAAATACAGTGAAGTGCACACAATCAGCACACTGCTGAAGTTGGCACAATATAGTTCAGACAGTTAACCAGAAAGGAAGGGGGCCAAAGGGCCTACATTATGTCTGCTGCTAAGATTCTTAGTTCAGGACAATGGAGGAGCCAGGCTGCTCGAAAAATTCAGCCCGTTTTATAAGACAGGCCTGGATCTGAATCCTGGCTCTGCCACCTATGACGGGGTTTGGAACAAATTATTTTCTCCAGGTGTTTTTTCACCTGTAAAATGGGGGCTACAACCCACTTAAATTCTCTACCTATGAAATTCTACTACTTGGAGGGCCTGAAGATGAAGCCTGCCTCTTAGGTGACAGTACAGGGAGAGAATTCTAAACAAATCCCATGGCCTTCAGCAAATCAGAGGGAGCAGTGACTCTCATCCTCTTTTTAGTTCTTATCTCCCCAAAGCCAAATCCCTCCCCAGCCAAAAGGAAGGTTGCCCAGAAAAGGGTCTTCCTTAGGCTTGCAGAATCAGTAGTCTGATAGGCTCAGGCTCTAAGCTACCTTTTTACCCCTCTGGAATCATGATATGCCCTACTTGTCACTTCATGTAAAAGGTCACTGAGCACAGAAAAAGATACACTTTAACCCATTCTGGACAGAAGAGTTTTCAGACTCAGGGCCACTGATTTCTAAAGCATCGTAAGTTATACTAAAAAAGGAAAACAAGGCCCAGAGAGGTAAAGTGTGTTCTTCAAGGTCATACAAATGATCAGCAGGTATCTTTCTATGAAGAGGAAATAGCCTCTCCCAAAACCAAGCCAAGTTTTATGCTCTCAGGCCAAATAACCAGGTCTTTTCCTCCTCAGTCAGGAGGAACCCACAATGAGCAAGTTGAAAAGAACCCAGAATGTTCAGCATGCCAAAACCCCAAGTTGAGCACTGCCGAAGCATAGTGGTACTACCATCTGGTGAAGCACACAAGTTGAAAAAGCCTTTCCCAAGCTGTAAGTATCTCCGATGAGCACTAGCTATCCTCAAGGCAGAAACGAATTTCAATAAATATTATGGAGTGCCTTTGAAAGCAAAGGCCACTAGGTGCCCTAGGCCACTCAGTTACAAGAATGCTGAACTACAAAGACACTACAGAGAAACACCAAGTTCAAAAGCAGGCCAAACCCTTATCTGGATTAACTTGGCAACAAATACCTGAATTCAGTCAACATAAAATGAACTTCCTTCAGCATGACAGAACAGTATCAGAGGCATGTGGCAAAAGAAATAAGACATACAGCTCCTACCGCAATTAGTGGAAATAGCTGCATGAGGCAAGGGTCTCCAAGTACCTGGCACATCCTCCTAAACGGTGCCAGAGAAGGGAAGGCAGAGTGAACAGCTACACCTCCCTCTGTGGTGCCGACTCCTTAGCACAGAAAGAAACTAGAGTTGCCTCCCGAGAGTGGAAGCTGAACCACATCTCAGGCCCAGATCTAAGGCCACCAAAAATTACTCTCAGGAACCCAGTGTGCAATGTTGCAACAGGCTGGTCCAAGCTGCAGCTGACAACCAGCCTCCACTCTTCATCTACCCCTTCCTATTGCTACAATTCATGGTCCACGTTTGTCATACTCTCACAGAGTGGAGCAGGGAACCTGTTTATAGAGTGCCCCAAATGTCGGGCTCCAGTACACATGGGCTTGGGTAGGTCTCATGTAATTTTACCTGCTACAATAAGCTCCAAAGAAAGTGCAACCATGAACCAATAACCGAAGGACACAGAGACTGGATGAATGCTGACAAGCACCAGCACCTCCCCCGCTCCACCCCCAAAATCACCTACACCAGCAAATTAAAACCAGGATTTCCGAATAAGAGGAGAAAGAAGCTGGGAACTAAACCTGTATGGTCTTAGCTTTTTCCTCTGCACAATAAACCTAATAGGATAATGTAACCTATGTGAAGCCTGGTATCTGTTAAGTGAGAGAAACCATCTGCACACTGTCCTCACCACTGCTATCTCAAGAGGCAAAGTCCACAAATGGTCTCTAGTTTCCTCAAGGGCTCCTTCCTCCCTGCCCACACCCATGAGGAAAGAGGAAGGGTCCAGGATGGAGATAGCAATGACCTCCTGCTTAAATATCAAGTCTGGCTTTGGCTGCTGTTACAGCTGCTAAAGACTGGAGCCCTGACTCAGCTGAACCCAAGCTACTGAGACCTACATGCCAGGGCTAACTAAATTCCAAGACAAACATAGAACTTCAGAAAACAGCCCTGTGTCCCAACACCCTCACATGTATGGAAGCAATAAACTCGCTAATATAACAAACTCCAGGACACTGCAATTATCTTGGAAGAACTAAGTTAAACCCTTTCCTAAAGGCAAGAGCCAAATCTGGGCATCGTGGAAAGAATGAGAGAAAGTCTGTCTCTTGGTTTTCTGGAGATGGCATACTGCCAATTTGGCAGCCTCTGAACCCAGCATACAACATAAATCTCCTTCCAACACATGAAGTAAGGAACTTCCCTCTTAAACCTGTTGTCCAATCCCACTTACAGAAGAAACAAGAGTCTAGAGCAGATTTTCCCAAAGTCTGGTCTGGGGATGACCAACATCAGAAGCCCCTGGTGCAGAAAGGTGGGTTTAATCTACTAGGTCTGGAAATTGCATTTTTAACCAGCTGCCCTGGCTATTCTTACCCTAGCTTTGAGAACTGCGCAGCTCTCTAAAAACCGCTGTTGCTCGTCAGTTAAGTCAAAATCATTTTTCCCATACATTGGAATCATACCTCTCAAGGCCACTTAGGGTAGGCTCTACACACTCTGGAACCCAATACTCAGATCTTACACTGGCTGACCCAGTTGACACTCTATCAGCCTCACGTGCAGAATGGCTTCAATATAACCACCCTCTGGGGTGGCCTCAACTTCCACCTTTAAGCACACATATTCCTAGCTCTAAAAGGGGGGCGGGAGGAGGCTACAATCAAACTTTCCTGGCCCATCCTCTTCGAAGATTCCTTCCTATGCTGGCTAAGAATCAAGCCCCGTTCCTGCAGAAGGGGTAAGAAAAGCGGCTCGTTTCTGGGATGGCAGGAATCTACCAGGAACTGTCTTGATAGGAGAGCAAAACCACCCAGGCCTGGGGCTCTGATAACCTACAACAACCCGTGAGGCCTCGAGGTGGCAAGAGGCCGCCCTCGTCTTTACTTTCCCAGATCGGGTGGAAGCGAGGGGTTAAGAAAATGCAGGATGTGAGGTCCAAATATAACTTCTCGCCAACTCTGCCTCAATTGTTCTTCGTAGCTTCGAGCCAGCGCCAGGCTCTGAGCTCGGACCGGGTCCCAGGAAACTGCTGAGAGAGACACTTGGCTCCAGAGACGTGGCCCCAGGGTCGAGGAGGGGGCTCAGGGCCCGCAGCCCTCGGCCGGCTGCTCCCAGCACGGCAGGCCCCGGATCCCACTGCTCGGCTGAGGGGCTCTCACCTCGGCCCACCCGGCCTTCCAAAGGGTCCTTGCGGAAGTGGATCCCGTGCACGTCCACATGCGCCTCGCCGCCCGCGTTGACGGCCCAAATGACGCTCTCGGGTAGCCCGGCCCCCGCGGAGCCGACCACGCCGAGCCCCGGCCCCCGGAGCGCCGGCAGCAGCAGCAGCAGTAGCAGTCGCAGGAGCGCCACCGCAGCTCCCTCAACCGCCCGGGCCCCCAGCATGGCGGCCACCACAGCGGGGGCAGCCTCCGCCGACCCTCGTCCTCAGCCGGCCGCCAGGCCGCCCCGGACTCAGAAAAACAGCACCACGGGCCGCTCTGCCTCGGCCGCCGGGGACATGTCGCTCTCAGGCCTCCTTCTCAGCCACGGGTGCCGCCTCCCACCTCAGGAACAACCTACCCCGCCGCCCAGCCCCCGGCCACGACGCTGCAGCCAATCAGCGCCCGACCCTCATTAATTACCCATAACCCCGCCGAGAAACGCCCGTTCATTGGCTGCCAGGCGAGGGAAAGGGCGTGGCTACTCCCAGGCGCCGGCCCAACCATCAGGCTCGAGAGGGAGCGCGCGCACAGGTTGGGAGTTCGGTTGAAGCGGCGGTTAAATGCGGAAGTGGCGGGGTGCAGCGCCCAGGCGGCCCCGGAATCCCGCAGCTGAATAGGAAAGGTGGCCTAGGAGGGAAGGTTTAGAGTAGGGCGCACTGACACGTCGCCAACACTTCCGGTGCTCCAGATCTTGGGACCGAATAGGCTCCCGAGGGGGCGTTGCTGACTTTCCCGCCCCCTCTTCCTTTCTCAGGGAGAGGCATGAACATAAGCTCTAGTAGGAGTGTACACTCTTCCGACCTGAGCCTCAGTCTTTTTCTCCTTGTGAGGCAGAGAACCCATTCTCCCCTAGAGAGGCCACAAGCACAGCTCTTCAGAGCACGCGTCCCACGAGGACAACACCCCGCCCCCACCCCTTAGCGGGCTCAGGGCTTGTGGTAGCGTCCAGGCGGCCGTCCAATCAGAAGGCTCCAACACAGCGGAAATGCGTGGCCTTGGGGGGGAGGGGCTCCAGCTACCCGTGTATCCATGGCGACAGCCTCGGCCCCGCCCCAGCGACTCGGGGACGGCATCGGGGCTTCCCCCACGTTGGTGTGGACAGTCGAGCGTGGTGCCCAGTCTGGAGGTGTATGCTCGACCGGAGCTCCTTCTCTGCTCCGTGGCAGTTCACCCAGCATTTTCCTACATTGGCGATCCCTGCGCTGCGGTCGCTGTCCGAACTCCCCACTTTTCAGAGACAGTGAGGCCCAAAGAGGGTCGCAGAGTTGGCCAAACGGGTGACACCGCAAGTTGAGGGCAGAGCCAAGGCAAATTCCGCAAATATTTTTTTGAGACCCTACTACTATGGTTGGCAGATTTAGCAGATAAAATACAGGAAGCCCAGTTGAATTTGAATTTCAGATAAACAAATGGGACATACTTATATGAAAAAATAATTCATATTTTGTTTAAAATCCAAATTTAACTGGGATTTTTGCATTTTACCCGACAACCTTACCTACTACATGCCAGGCAATGGGCTTTGTGCAGCAGTGAACAAAAACACACCCAGGGTCCTGAATGAGAATTGCAGATTTTGAACTACCCACAGCTCAATTATTTAGTTAGAACAGAGATAAAGAAACAAAATGGGATACCAAAATGGAGAGCATCAGTGAAGAATTTAAATGCCCCATAATTCCTTCCCCAGCCCCCAGGGTCAGACCCCACAGGAGTAACTTTTAGAGTATCCCCTCTTGGTCCCACTTCCCCCCTATATTATATGGCAAGGATCTGGACTAGCTTGCTCCTACAGCCATGTTTCCCGCCTCAAGGCACCTCTGGAGTCCTGCACTCGGGTGTCTTATCCCACTCTCCACTCTCTCAAAACTTGTCTTTGGAGGAACCTGGTAAGTCAGCTCTTGAATAGCCCTCAGGGCGGGGGTGTAGTGCAAATGGGGATCAAAGGTACAAAGAGGTGATGGGGGGCTTCTTCCCTCCCCGGCAGTTGCCCTTCAGAGCCCATGTTCTAGCCCACCCCCTACACCACCTCCTGGAGCTCATGTTTATTTTATCCTTAAGGCAGCCTAGTCCAGGAGAAGCTATCACAAAAATGGATTAAATCTTTGGGGAGCCCTCAAAAGACCTAACCTATGCCTCCTCTCAGTTCCCCAGAGCCTTGGTCACCCCACGAGATAAATAAGATACTTGGCTAGCCCCCACTGGGCTCCTCAGATTCCATTCCTGGCTGGGCTACCTGTGTACAAAGGAGCCTGGCCCGGTTTTTTGAGATTCAGTAGCTGGTGGATTAGACTACCTCTTAGGTAAAACAAGAGTTCTGAGACCCGGAGGCAGGATGAGCATGGAATCTGAGCTAGATTGCCTGGGTTCTAAGCCCTGCTCCACCATTTACTCACTGTGGCCTTGGGCAAGTTATGTACCTCTCGGAGTTTCGGTTTGCTCAACTGTGGAAGTAGTAGTTCCTACTTTGAAGGCTAGATCTGAGGTTTATAGAAGATAATGCAACCATTTGACCCAGCAATTTCACTCCATTTTACCCAAGAAATGAAACTAGTGTCCACACAAAAACTTGTACACGAATGTTCATAGCAGCAAAAGTGGAAGCTACCCAAAAGTCCATTAACTGATGAATGGATAAACAAAACTTGTATATCTATATAATAAACTATTTTTGAGCCAGAAAAAGTAATGAAGTACTGATATACACTACAACATGGATGAACCTTGAAAACATGCTGAGTGAAAGAAGCTAGACCTAAAAGGCCACAAGTTGTATTACTGAATTTATATAAAATGTTCAGAATAGGCAGATCTATAGAGACAGAAAACAAATTCATGGTTGTCTGGGGCCGGGGGAAAGGGAGGTGGGGGGATGATAGCTAAAGTCTTTTTTATTTTTTAATTTAATTTTATTTTTTAAAGATTTTTATTTTATTTATTGAGAGAGAGAGTGATAGAGGGAGAGCATGAGAGGGGGGAGAGTCAGAGGGAGAAGCAGACTCCCCGCCGAGCAGGGAGCCTGATGCGGGACTCGATCCCGGGACTCCGGGATCATGACCTGAGCTGAGGCAGTCACTTAAACAACTGAGCCACCCAGGCGCCCTAAAGTCTTTTTTAATAATTTACTTGAAGCCCACAGCACCCTCTCAGGATAGAGAACTTGCCGTCCATGGAGTGACAGGAACTGAGATTTTGGGGTCACACAAAACTGGTTCAGTTCCTTTCTCAGTGGCTTCCCAACTACATCTGTTACTGCTTTTCTCTGTAATGACCTCTTTCCTAAAATGCATATGATCATCCACCTCACAGTTGTAAGGATTAAACGAGGAAAAAAAAAAAATAGACACCTAACAATGAATTATCTGAAAAAAGAAATAAAGAAATCTATTCCATTTACAACAGCATCAAAAATAATAAAGGGGGGGCAACTCTCTCGGGTCCCCTCCCTTCTCAGGAGCTTGTACTACCACTTTACTATCACTCAACAAACTTGCTTTGCTGCCTACCAGTCCATCTGCTCTACCTCTTCATTCTTCGAAGCGGCATGACCAAGAGCCGTGCACCATGAACACTGACAGAGAAAAAAACAATTTTATTTATTTATTTGACAGAGAGAGACACAGCGAGAGGGAACACAAGCAGGGGGTGTGGGAGAGGGAGAAGCAGGCTTCCCGCAGAGCAGGGAGCCCAACACGGGGCTCGATCCCAGGACCCTGGGATCATGACCTGAGCCGAAGGCAGATACTTAATGACTGAGCCACCCAGGCACCCTGGTGACTTCTCTTTTCTTTGTAATATAAGAGGCAAGGCCATCTGCTGAAAATGCAAAGGAGAAAGGCCTAAAACTAGAGCAGGAACATGCCTGGATGAAGACTTCAGGATTCTTCCAGAACAATGTGATGAAGACAGAGCAACAGGGTGACCTACAATGTTGGCAGCAATTATGGAAATAATGAATTATAAAATCTTAGCGGGAGGAAGTAAAGACTCGCGAGGACCAGTGGGTCTGGAGAAGGATGGTCAGTCCTTTGGAAGGCCTGATGAGTTTGGATTAGCTGCTACTCAAGAGTTCAGTTTGTCAGTTAATGTTAGGAAATAAAGCTTAAAATGTGAAAAATAAATAAATAAATAAAGGGCCACCTGGGTGGCTCAGTCAGTTAAGCATCTGACTCTTGGTTTCAGCTCAGGTCATGATCTCAGGGTCCTGAGATAGAGGCCCACCTCTGGCTCGGTGCTCAGTGGGGAGTCTGCTTAGGATCCTTTCCGTCTCCCTCTGCCCCTCCCCCTTGTGCGTGCAAACTCTCTCTCTCTCTCAAATAAATAAATCTTGAAAAAAAAATAAAGTATTTGGGGATAAACTTAACTAAGTGAAAGATCTCTACTCCAAAAACTGTAAGACATCAGTGGATGGACTGGAAGAACTAATACTGTTAAAATGTCAATACTACCAAAAGCCATCTATAGACTCAGTTCAATCCCTGTCAAGATTCCAATGGCATTTCTTTACAGAAGTAGAAAAAAACAGGGCGCCTGGGTGGCTCAGTCGTTAAGCATCTGCCTTCGGCTCAGGTCATGATCCCAGGGTCCTGGGATTGAGCCCCACATCGGGCGGGCTCCCTGCTCGGCGGGTAACCTGCTTCTCCCTCTCCCACTCCTCCCCCTGCTTGTGTTCCCTCTCTCGCTGTGTCTCTCTCTGTCAAATAAATAAATAAATAAATAAATAAATAAATAAATAAAGTAGAAAAAAACACTCCTAAAACCACAAAAGATCCCAAATAGCCAAAGAAATCCTGAGAAAGAAGAACAAAACATGAGGCATCACAATTCATGATTTCAAGCTATTCTATAATGCTATAGCCATTAAAAAAAAAATTTGGTGTACATCAATGATTTCTCACTAAAATTGGAAAAATACAAAAAAAAATTTTAATAGACATCTTTGTTTGTTTGTGGAAGAAAAACACACTTTTTGTGGAAAATATAGACAACTCAGAAGAGAACTTTAAAAAGATAAAATTCACTATAATTCCATCCAAAAGTGGGATAAGACCTGTAAACCTGGGCCCTGATGGACAGTTTCTCTATAACCCTTACTTCCCACCCACTTATTCTCACAACCACCACAAGAAGTTGGGAAAATAATGTCCAGCATTTTGCAGATGAGAAGCTAAAGTTCAGTAGGGTTAGGTGATTTGCCTACACAATGAGGGCCAAAATCTGTTTTTTTGGTTTCTCATCTAGTACTTTGCCTCTGAACCTCTTAGATACCACTTGGTGCGAATCGCAGCTCTGCCATTAAAATACTGTGTGACTTTGGG